TCTCGAGCACCACAGGGGTAGTTGGAACGTCGTTGTTTGCTTGTCCTTGATTCCCGACCTACAGTATGCGGTCGCGCAGCTTCTTAGAGTGGATTTTTGTGAACTAAGGTAGCGGGCGTTGGCCGAGAGGCTGTTTAGGTTGTGCGGAGATAGCTACGGAGATGCACTACAAAAAACACGCAGAACCTGGACGCGTGTTCACTTTGTGATCAGATGAGGAGGGTTATACGTTTGGCTGTTGGTGGTCTGCATTTCACTTGAATCTGCGAGTCTCTAGAATCGCTAATGTCCGCGATAGAAAAGACTCCAGTGGAAGCTGAGGCAATCCTGAGGGGTTCCCAACTAAAATCCACTCTTCCTATACTCTGAGAATCTTGATAAGCTTTGGGATAGTCAAAACTGAACGGAACTCATGTCAGTAAATGATCCCGCAACCTTCACGCGCGGTATTGGTGGACGAATTTTGACGAAAATTGTCTTTAATGGATTGAAAAGTAGCCTAGACTGTTCACGAATTGCAGTGTACAGGCATAGGTATATGGATGTTACAGAAGTGTATATTTTTAACAGATATTGAAAGTGACAGTCCTTCTTGCTCGCATAGTTTCGGTTCTTCAACAAATAGGCTTACACACATCTACAATGAAAATGGTAACTGTCGAACAATGCCGCTAGAAATCACAAGTTCCTCTGATTCTATTCACCAATTTTATTTATTTCCATTATATTTTTTGAATTAACGATCTTATTTCCTCCTGGTGTCGCACGCTTGAGGTCAAGATGACGGCGACCAAAGGGATATTAGCAAGCTTACGATCACCCTTGACATCGTTTCTGACTTAAGTTACACAACAACACCACGCGGTGGCTTAAAGTGTTCGCCTTCTTCGCTACTAGTTTTTACTTCATAGCTGGGTTGCATGCTCATTGATCTGTTTTAATTGTTCAGTCGCCCATTTTGCGGTCTTTTCCTCCAACAAAGTACTGTTAATTGACGTTTTAGGCGAGCGGAATAGGTGCTTGCCATACCTTGGCGGTTTCGCCCCACGTGGCTCCCATGAGCCCATCTCCTCTATAGCGACTACCGCCGCAGGCCCCCCATCTTCTTCCTCCTCCTGCGCATCATCCGCCTCCTCCATCGTATCGTCCTTTTCTTCCTCCTCGTTATCGGCTGCCATCACAATGGACCCTCCATTTTCCTTCTCGTCTTTCGAGCCGCATCACTCTCTGTCAGCTTGTGCTTTCGACTCGGTTCCCCCAACTCTTCCGCTTCCGTTGAAAAGAGTGAGACGGGATTTCTAGTGGACGTTTGACCTACGCATGCAAGGAAGGCAGTTCGGACCCCCTACTGATATCCTGGTTTTATTCCCACGCACAGCACTTTCACCTCCGCCTGCCCACCATCAGCGCATATAGATCTCATTTTGAGCCCCATATTTTCTCACGTAACCCCCCGCGTCTCCCTTTTTTCATATCTCCCAGCATCGCTGCTTTGTCCTAGCGATCAGTGGAAGGGACTTATACGTACGTCTGATACTCACTCAAGCACAGCGCTGTGGTCACTAGTCGTAAACCTTACGCGTTTCTTTTAGGTGAACCATTAATATCATCTCTTTCACCGGCCTATTGATAAACAATGCGTTATTTCTTAATTTGTACAACTTCT